CCGTGCGTCCCGCGTTGTTTGTTACATAACCTGAGGAATGCCTTTCCGGAGCTCCGCGGCGGAACTATCCTGCAAGGAAATTAATTCTCCTTGTAAAGAATACATATGTAATTGCGCATGTATGTGGGGTGGAGGGTCCTCTCTTAATTCCGCGGTACAAGTCGGGAGACAAGATGGCGGACTGTCTAACCGTCTACCCGCCTAATTGGATTTCCGTTTGCGTCGTTGCGACGGGAATTATCGGATACGCCAAGACGTCTCTCAGAATCCTACCAGCCCGGAATCCCGAGGGACGGCTCGCGCATCCGCTTGGCCGCGACGTATTTTCCTGGATATCCCCGGAATCTCCGCCGCGCTCCGCTCCGGTCGGGGGGGACCCTCTCACTGCGCTCCTGCTGCGTTCGCGCTCGCTTATATACCCGGGATGAGGCCGCGAGTCCGAAATCCCTGCCACCTGATTGGTCGAACCGGCGGGCCTCTCGACCAATCAGCTGCGCGATCATGCTTAGGAAAAAAATAAAAAATAAAAAATAATAATAAAATTTGTCAAAGTTTTATAGAGTTATTAAGTGGTATTTTAACTTATACTTCACCGCGGTTCCTTATTACCGATCATTAATTAATTATTAATTAATTTCACACGCGGCGCAAAATCCGTCCCTCGGTCCACATAGACCTTGTTGCATTCTCGAGTCCTGCATCCTGTAAAAGCGCATCCCGAGGTAACAGGTGCAACGGGAAAAATCTATATTCGGGGGAGGGAGGTCCCACGTGAAAAGATATTGCACTTTTCCTCGGCGTTAGCGCCGGAAGTGAACTCCCCTTTCCGGCAACTTTGATATCGAGCCTTTCGGGCGATCGAGGGGGGACTCGGAGTGCACATGCAGGGGAGCGCACATGCAGAAGTGCATACGGCCGCGATGCACTCTGCCGCGAGCTCGCTTCCCTTCGCCGGCGCATATGCCCCGGGACGATCAAAGCCCCTTTGCAACCGAGAGCTTTGTCCTGGGTGTCTGCAGTCCCCGGGGGGCAGCAACCCCCCCCCCCCGTACCTCCTCTTTGATTTTTTGCCAACCCCCTTCGCGGCGAAAAATGCACCGACCGAATTCGCCTACTTACCCTACCCCTTAACCTCGACCGCAAAATTTATTCAGGAATCAATTAATTGGCCCATTCGGTAGATCGTAACCAGTCCGACGATTTCATTCGCCTGCCCTTTACAAAATTTCGTTCTATTACGAAATATTCTACTTATCATCCCTGGAGCGATCCATAGACGCGGGGGATGCTCCCTCCCTCTCATTGTCTTTCTCGCCGCTTATCGTTGAACGGCTTCTTTGAGTGGCTCGAAAGGAGAGAGGAGGTCGGTGGCAGTTGCCCCCGGTAAAGGGTTTGGGGTCGCCCCCCCCCCATTGTTGATGACAAAAGGCGACTTCCTCTTGTTTTGTCGGGCAAACTTCGGCATTTGTCCGGCCCGGCGCATTGTCCAAGTAACTCGGCCCGCCAAGAGCTGGTACTTAACCAACGGGGCGAGATCCCCTTCCCTCCCATTTTTTTTTCCTTTTCTCCTAACGAGGCCACTTTGTCCGCAAATTTGAAATCCCAAGAATCGGCGCTTCGATGAAATGCATCGCCGTTGTGAAGAAAGAAGCAAAAAAAATTAAAATGAGACGATCAAGTCAAAGAATCGAAAAGGAGAAATCTCCACCGGGGGTTAAAAAAGAAGAAACGAAGAAAATTTCTCAATGCGATTACGCGGCGAGGAGAAGAAGTGTCATCGAGTCCGTCCAAGTTTTTTTTCGAGGGCCCTCCTCCCCCATGGGTGGGGGACCTCCCACTGGGGTGGTCACCCCCCCTTGATCCCGGCAGAAATTAAATTGGCAATTTTCTCCAGTGCAGCCATTCTGGAGGAGCCTTAGGATCCTCCTGCGGGACCCTCTTCCTTTTCCGGGATTCTTCCCCCATTCCGCCTCTACTGGCGACGATCCTCCTCCCCCCGGGGGGTGGCTCAGTCTCGGCACGTCTATACATACACCCATGTATATAGACAGGAGGGGACATAAATTACTTCCTCAAAGCGACCAGATGATATCCTCAAATCCTCGCGGAAAACTTCCGCCGTAGATCAATCTTTCCCTCTCGGCGTCCCGGAGAAGACTGGGCCGAGGGTGAGGGGAGAGCTCCTCCTCCCCCATCCCTCGCGTAAGATCCTGGGGGAAGAGGAGGATGGATTATACCGCAGAATGATGCATAGGATCCACCGATCGGCGCGTGAATATTCGAGTGATTCATTCACCTCGTAACACAACACCCTCCTCCCGCCCCCCGAGGTCGGTTAAAAATACAAGAGGGATCTGAGCAAGACGGGGGGTGGTGAATTTCATTTCCGGCACTGGGGAAAAGGGGTTTCTATGAAGATTCGACGCGCGAATATCCGGCGATTGATCCGATTCTTAACTGGTCGGTGCGCGAGATGTGGGGGGTTGGGGGTTGAGTGTATGAAAGAACGAAGGGCGCAGGCAAATTTAATTTCCTTCGAGGGAATCTCGCGGACTCGATTCCCCTTCCATCCCAGGAATCCTTTTTCTAGTTGAGATGGGAATTTTCATTTTTATCCCCCCCCGGATTTCTTTCCCTCCCTGGGAGTGGATGCCACGTTCCAAGATGGTGGACCCTCCGCCTTCCTCCGCGTGACATCCTCGGGAACGACTTTAATTCTACTCATCGCCGAATCATTTCTTTTATCATTTCCCCGTCACCTCCCAATTTTTGGCGCAACCGAGGAAAACTCGACGCCGGGGTGAGGGGGGGTCCGTCGAGTCAACGAAGTGATCTAGGGAGACGTGGGGGAAGCGGGGGGATTGGGGGGCTTTTGTGTTCCCGAACTGGACGGACTTGGCGAAACCGAATTACAGGAGGATCGGATGGGCCACTTCCGGGGGAGGCCGCCTTTGTGGACGGGGGGACCGGAGGATGAGATTGTCCCGTCACTCTCCTACCGACGTCCACCTTTCTTCTGCCCCTTGCCCCACTCCCTCCACCCACGGACAACGCCGTTTTCCCCGTAACCTGGTACCTACCGCCGCCACCCCCGCAATCGCTTAAACAAACGTGTGAAGGAAACAATCGCCCCCAACTCTTCCCCTCGAGTGATTACAGATTTTTCCGGATGCATTATGTCCGTCCCCTTGTAATCGTCCAATTATCAATTTTCCCGAATTCAAAGTATTAGAGGGAAAATGCCCCAAAAAAAAAATTCGATAGCGTCAAAAGCGATATCCGTGATAAGAGAGAGAATCAGGGAGTGGTCCCTGTCCGGCGATCCTCATTTGCAATGCGATTAAGTGCATCTGCATAAGTCTTAATCCCACGGTCGGTTTCGTCGCGGGGGGCTCTCTGAAAAGCTCCTTAACAGTAATGCGATATCTCGAGAAGGAGAGTCAGAAGATAGCGTTCTCGAGCCGAACTTTCCGCGTCCCGGGGTACGCGGAGTAAAAGACGGGGCACGGATTCCGGGGGGGGGGGCTTGAAATGAGCGAAGGTTAGGGCGAAGGGATGCTCACGGGGGCGGAAGCGACCAGGGTCGAAGTTACGTGTACTTAATCCGTAACTTGAGCGACCCCCGAACCCCCGACCCCCCCGCTCTCGACCGGGACGCGCCGGTCGCCTCTTAATTATCAAACTTCGTCCCCGAAAGCTCTCGATATATGTACGCACGTGTGTGTGTGTGTCTATATATGCATATACCTAACCACATATCCGGCGAGAAACTCTCTGGCGACGTCACGGGAAATCGCGGAAAGTAGGCGGATGCGTGAGCTTTCGAATTCGGATTCCGTGGGGGGAAAGAGCGCAAGGGGCGGAGGGGCGGAATCCCTCTACGATATTTTCACAGGTCGCGAATTTATCCCTTGAGATGGAAAAGCTCTCCCTTGGGGGTACGGAGAGGGGGGGGGGCGAACTGCCAATTCCCGACGCTCGGCCAGGCTGAAGTCGGCAATAAAGCGTCCGCAAGCTCGTGGGGAGGAAGGGGGCGAAGGAGCCTCCGCGGTCGTCGCGTTTCCCGGAGACGTCCGAGGGGCTTTTTGCCCCCGCGAAGGGGAAGGGGGTACTCGAAAGTTCACCCTCTGGAGCACGGAATTAAACTTACCGCGGGACTTGCCCTCTGCGAGGGGGGGGCAAGGGGGAGGGGGCAAGCCACTTCGTACGAGCTCCGATTACCGGCGAGCACGGGATTGCACTTACGGCGAAAGCTCGGTCGGCAGAAGGTAAGTCGAGGACTGTCGAGCCGCTCTAGGGTCCCCAGGTGTGGCGTGGGGACTTTCCTCCACTCGGTGCCCCCCAACCCCCGCTCGGATATATCGAGCTTGAAATGAATTTCGGGGGTTACTATTTTTTGAGGAAGGATGCGAGGGCCCCTGGAATTGGAAAATCGAATTTTCGGGATTCTGGCCTCGCTGTGTGCGTAATTTCGAGCCGAGACGGTCGGGTCTTCTTTTATTTCCCGTCCGGTCGCTCAAAGGTCCTCGCGGGGGGTCCTCGACGTCTCATCTCCCGGCTCCGGGAGTGGAGGCTTGCGGGGATTCTGAAGCATTCCTCGGCAAGGTAAATTGTCGCTTAATGATATCGCCGCGAGCCCCCCTCGGGAGGCCCCCTAAGGTCGACCTCCTTTCCGACCCCGGGACCACCCCCAACCCCCCGGGGGAGAATACTTAAACTCGGGAGAAGAGAGAACGCTTAAATTGCAAACTCCCCCGGTGAATTATTCCTTGTGACTTCCTTTTCACTTCCTTTTGCAGTACTCCCGGAAAATATCGGGGAGGATCCTCCCCTCCTTTTCCTTCATATTTAATATCGTGCCATTTCGCTGAGTGATGCCTTGTGGATCTTCTATTTTTTTTTTTTTAATTTCTTCTACAATTTTCATCACCGTGTACTCTTGCGTCTTGGAGGATTACATCGACGGCGTGGTTTTCATGGGATTCTTTTTTCTGCTTCAGGTCATCCATGGGGTTCACATCGAGCCGGAGCACGTGGTGAAGAAGCGCAGCATCAGCCAACCCCTAAGGATCCTCCTGTCCTACGACGAGAGCGTCTACCGGTGGGTTTCCGTCAGAGTTCATTCCTTAAGGACCATTTTGGAGACCCCCAACTCGTCGGGGGGGAGGGAGGGACTTACAATACAATTCCGCACGCGGCAGTTCCGCTCGAAGTCGCGGCCAATGTCAACGCGGCGAAGCGCGGCCAACTAGGAACTCGCTTATTCCGTAAGCGGAAAGCGAAACGGGACCCTCGACTAATTTTCTGAAATTCCGGAATTCTAGAGAAGTTGATCCCCCCCCTGTAAAATCGATTTTGTAAAGTCGGTCCAGGTCGCGGAAAATCGGGAATTGTATTTCCTGCCGATAAACAGACTGGCAGAGGGTGGCGCGCGATCCCAACTCCAACAAGTTGTTTTTCGAGTGCACCCCCTGCGAGGGGTTGGGGATGGGGGGATATATGCACTTGTCTCGGCATATTTTACGAGCGGTGGGGCGCAAGTACCCCGGCTGGCACATTCCGGGGCTACGTGCGCCAAATTTCTTCAGACCCTAGCAAGGATTCCCCATAACCGAGCACTTGCACCCCCTAAACGCGGCTGCACTTTACCGAGTGACATACCGGTGATGGAGAGTGGGGGACGCCACCTCGCGAATATCCGGGGGTGGTTTTGTCGACGAGAAGCGCCGACAGAGATTTACGCGTCGCCCCGTGGCTCGGGTGCACCCCGATGCACCCCAGTGCACCGCTCCGTGGGGGGTCCGGGATGCACCCTCTTGGCATCCTAAGGAAGGGTTGATTTTTCATTTCCGATCTAAGGAACTCGGGCGTCATTCTAGAAGGGTTGATTTTTCATTCCGCGTCGAGGGGATAATCGGGGGTTAAGTCGCCGCGAGTGGGGATTTATCGGCGGAGGGCTCGGGGAATTTGGGGGAAATCTGTATTTTCCGCGGTTTTCCTCCGGGGGTCGATAAGGCCCGTAATTAATGGGCCTGTCGCCCGCACTCCCGAGGGCTCCCCGAGCCCTTATATCCCCCTGGAAGCGATATTCCCCCGTTGATCCCCCGGGAAGATGGCCCCTCCGAGAGGTCGCGCCGACTTGGGAAGGCGCCAGCTCGCGGCCGCGCGAGAGAGACGCCGCTATGCGGTCGCCGCGGGTTGGAGAGAGACGCCGCTACCCGAGCCCGGTCATTCGGGAAACTTATGCTTATTGAATTCGAGGCCTCGGAATTGGCGCGGCTCCGCTTCTGGCGCTCGAGATATCGAATAGGCCGCGGGTACGTGGGTGTACGTGCCCCTCCCCCGCGTCTATATACGTATGTACCTTGTAATATATACCTGGCACATATGTATATACCGGGATTTTTCGCGGGTATTAAGAGCACGAATCGGCGCGGCGAAAGTCGATATCTGCCAACTCTCGCAACCTCCCTCACCTCTGGTCCCTGCATGACTGTCCCTGTCCTCCACCCCCTGCATGACTGCCCCCATCCCCCTTGCCCCACGAGAATTCCCGCACCGGTCCCCGCGGGCCCAGGAGGGGGGAGTCGAACTTGGAGAACTCCCGTCCGTGACTCGAATTCGAATTCGGCGCCAACCACTGCTCTGACATTTGCTAATGCACTTCGGGGCTCCCGGTTATGCCTACAGATTCGCCCCGTTTAAGGCTACCCCGTCTCGAACGGGATTAAACGGAAACCACCCGGAATAATTAATGCCCAATACCCCGCGACAACATAACTTGCCGAATGCGCCCTCGAAATTGCTTCCCTTAACCTCGATACATAATTTTTTAAATGTATATGGAATGACCCTTTTATGTCACCTTAAGTGCACGTGCACCGGGATGGACCGCGCGCTTATATAAGGCCGCCTCCCCTTTCACGGGAGCGTCATTGCGCGCGCGACCGTCGAGCGAGCAGGAGCTCGTATTGACATAATCGCTGCTCGCGCTAGTGAATGGGAAGCCAAGAAAAGGCTTCCCCTCTGGACGGCATTGAACGCATAATTAACCCTTTGTTCGATTCCGACGTTAAGGAGGGGGGAAAGCGAAATTCAGTTTGGAGGTTATGTAAAGTAGGAACGTTTCACCGTAAATTCATCCCTTCGGTCATCTCGCATCAGGAGTCGGAATTAATTTTCGACTCCATTGGGGGCGAGGGGGAGGTCGGTTTTTCGGAAACCGGGGGTGTATCGTTAGCGGTTAATCGACGCTTCGCTTTGTGGGGCGGGGGGCATGGGGGGGCGCTCGTATTTCGATTATCGTCGCTCGTCGCGCACGTCGAAAACATTGATATCACGCGCGGCGCTCGGAATAATTTCCAGCCACGATAAAGTTACCCCCCGAACCCCCCGCCGCTTCGAAACGTCATTTTATCCTCGAAAATTATTTTCCACTCCGCTGGTCCAGTTTTGGAACTCGTTTTAGAGACGATGCCCTAAACGTAATTAGGGTGAAATTTCATAACTACCTTGAGAGAAAAAAAAAATGCCATTGGACGAAAGAAATATTTCGTTAATTCAAAGAATAATTATTCGTCGGTGCTTTACCGATTTTTTTAAATTTATGCGGTTTGTTTTTTGCACTTAAGCGCGGATTTTTCATCGCGAGATACGGTGGGAGAAACTTTGCCTTTACGCAACAAGCTAATACGATGGGTTTCTATGTGGTAGCTAAAGCGAGAGGACGCGCTCGACCAATTTGACGGATTCCGTCTCTTTGACGGTGCTGCGGGGGGATGGGGTTGCGGCGGAAACCGCGCGGAACGAGTCCCGGACCGTGTCGACCCTCGTCAGTCGAAATTACGGCTCCTTGAGTAATTAAAATGATCTCTGTGTGACCCCATGGGTGGTGACCCCACGGACTGTGTCCGAATTTGGACGCACCCCTTTCCGCCCCTTCCGCGTCCGGCTTGACTCGCGGCAATCCGGGAAGAGGACGGCGGCCGTTTGCCGTGAAAAATGGCCGGGCCCCTTTTCAATGTGAGAAGTCGAACGGCCGGGAAATTCGATCTCCGATCTCGACTTTTCATCCCCCCGCGGATTTATCGGCGGAAAGGTCGTCTCGATAAATTCCGCGGGGTGCATTCATTCCGCGGTAGTCGATAACGAGGAAGAAGCGACTCGCGTAAAGCTTTCTCGGAGGGTCTCTCGCAATTTTCCGCACGATTTCTGGCGGCTACCTTCGATCGGCCCGGCGACGCGCCGCCATCTTGGTTCCCGGGAACGGAGGGACGCTACGGCGAATCTGCGGATAAATGGTCCGATGGTTTTGCGGAAAATCTGTATGCCGGTGCGCGGGCCTGCGGGAACACGCCTCTGCATTCTGCCGAGAGCTCGTTTCCCATGCCATTCAACTTGACTTTTGCGATCGCGTACCGGTTACTTTCACCTAGCAAGATGGCCGCCGCCTGGGCGCAGCCCACCCGGCGACAATGGATTCGCGAGCTGAACAAAGGCCGAAATATCCATCCCCCGAGGTTCGATGTACCGAAAAGAAATGCAAGAAGCATGCATTTCGAGATATATGCCTGGTCCTCCCATCGCCTCGTTTCGTATCTCCCGTATAACCTCCGTAAATATAAATACATGAATATGGACGAGCGTCCATCTTTTGCCATAATTTCCCACGTGACGTTGGGTTCAATTGATTCCAGTCGAGTAATTGTTACCTTTCAATTGGTGGAAAATTTCCTTGGGTACCGTTCATAGAAGCATTTCTTCGGTTCGTTGAAACGTTTTTCCTAGCGCGGGTAAAAGTTAATAGAAACGAGAGATGGTAAGTACCGCGGACAAGTGCGCCATTTCCGCGGCGTTTAACGCGTGCGTTATCATGCTCGTTTTCTGCGGAACGTTTAATGTAAGCAAATGGAGGGGCATATACGCCTTTCTTTCTTCGGTAATTTCTATACTCTCGATGAGGCCGCGGAAAGTGCGAGCCGGAAAAGTGAGGAACGCCGGGCCGGGGTAAATACCCCGGATAAGTGCGGCATTTCCGCGGCGTTTAACGCGCGCGTGACACCGGTGACCCGGTGGCGGCCCTCGCGGATTCCGGTCACGTCACCGGAGACGTGTTCCGTTTCCGCGAGGGCCGCATTAGCGGACGGCAGGCACGTCACGCGGATTCCGCCGGGTCGCCCCGCAACGCGGTGGACGCGTTGTCCAAAATGGCCGCCGCCGACGCGTTTCGGAGCAATTCCGCGAGAAAATACTCCCCGTCGCTATCGACCTCCAATTTCACTTCCAAATCTTCGAACCGTCCAAACCGAACATTTCTCTAACTTTTATACAATTTTTACCAATATTATACTACTGTAAAAAAAAATGCCTTTCCTAGAAATAATCCGCAATTTTTTCTTCCTCCCAATTTCCACTAATTATTAAACCCGTACATTTACGATACCGCGAAGAAGGTACGCTTCCGCGGTTTAATAAAAATCCACTTTTTAATATTGCAAGAGGGAAGTGCTCAATTTTGGTTCCCTTGAACCTACCCCTGTTTTCCCCCATTTCCGGATCGGCAAAGTCACCGAGGGAATTTCAGCGACGAGGCATTGTTTAAAAAAAAAAGAAAAAAAGCAATAGAAAAGTTCCGTTCATTAGCCGCGTGGACGCGGCGGGGGGGGGGGGGGTATCGGGGAAAGTTAGTTGTTGGAAAGTGGAGCAATTTCCGCCCTCCTTTAAAATTGATGCCACCGAGCCGTGGCATCGTTTCCGCCCGATATCGGCCGACTCCCTCTCCCCCCCAGGGGAGGGGGCGTTGCCCCCCAGGGTGCTCTCGAAATTACGCGCTCGGTGCCGATCTTCTTGCAGCCCAAAAACCATCCCCTGGGTTAATAAACCCGGTCAAGGGAAAATACCCTAAAACAGGAAGAGGGAGAAAATTGAAGTTCAGCAAAATCTCGCTCTTTTTTTTTTTCACATTTTCTAGATCATTTGCCAGATATCGTTTCTTCCTTATGAATTTCCTCGAAATCGTGAGAATTTATTAGAGTCCAATAATGATCCTTCGAATTAACAAAATATTTTTTTGATTAATTTTTGGGGGGGTATTTTTTTTTC